ACGAACGATTCCAGATCTTCCTTCAGGATTGTATTTAGGATATTTATATATTATCTATATATAGATTGAGTTCGATAGATAGATGAATTAACGCTAGATTTATAGAACCGTCAATTTGACGGACATATAATCTTTAAACCTCATTTACTAACAGTTCCTATTTTGATTCGTGCTATTACATGAATACGTATCGCAATGATCTAGTTTCAAAGCTACAATCCTCGCGATTCATACAGACGAACCAGAAACAATAGAACTATAGAATAAACGCCCGTTAATCCAGCATTACTTCACCAAAATCATATCGAAAGCATCAAGCACGAACCCTCTCGCTGAACTGCCGAATCTCCTCGCGCGAATTCAGTGGCACGAGACGACGACAGTGCGTCAAAGACTGTTCCTCGCAAAAAGGAGCATAGTTGAGTCTGGAACGCGAGCAGCGCGCTCAAGGAACGCACAATCGGAAGTTCGCCTCGCAGACGATAATTACTGGGAACGCGGCGTACATGGATCCCAGTTATTCCAGTGATCGGAACATTCCGCCGTGCTCGCATCGGAAATGCGAACGACGGGAAAGAGTATCGCGGTAAGGAGAGTTAAGTTCCGCGGCGTTCGCGTTGGAAATTCTAAAGTTAGCCGGGTTCCCGTCTCATGAATCACAAAGGGTGCGCGGATATGAAAGTGCAATTGCTCCCCCCGCGTTCGATGAGAGGTCCTCCCACTTTTTCCCCCTCGCCCTCTACTTTCCTTCTATTTTCCGGGAAAGACTGCCGCATAAATTCCCTTTCGCCCCGTATTTCATTTCAGGCCCGAAAAGCCTTTACGCGCATCGAAAGAATGATCGGAAACAAATCAAAGCGCGGGCGCACTGCCGAGGGAACGTGCAATTTTAACCCTTGCCGGCGAGGATTTTTTGAAAGAGAATTTTTGGAAGGAGGGTAAGTTATGCGTTAATATCGTAGATGCTAATGGAATGGTCCCTTGTTATTCGAATAATTAATACTAAAACGAGCAATTAAATTGACTTTTTGAAATTCGTTTGTAGAAACTTCGAGGATGCTTCTATCGAGGATTTAATTAACTTACAATTCAGTTTGAGTGGTATTAAATGAATAATAATTTCTCAGAGAAACAACTGTTATATTTTTAATAACTGCGAAAAGAAATCATGTAGGAAATTATGTGATTATTTTGTATCTCGGATGTGAAGGTTTGATGTCTCCGAAATCACGATATTCGAAGGAACAGACTCGATTCGCTAAGCAGTCATTTAACCCTTTGCACTCGAAAGTTTTTCACTAGAAACATACAATATTCTTCGATGAGATACAGACGATGTTCTTTGAAACTAATTAACGAGGAGACATGTATAAATTAAGAAGGAAAGCTATTTTATTTCAATATTCCATATTGATGTATCATACAAAGCTTAATATTATATATACTTTATAAGTTTGCAAATCAAATTAAGTGGTGACTGAGAGTCACCTCTCGAGTGCAAAGGGTTAATGGGAGTAAGAAAGAAAATTTCGTTCATTCCCGAACTGAAGCGTAAATCGTACGAGTCGTAGGAGTACTTCAAATCGAATTTTTTCCAAGAGCTCTGATCGACTGATCTCGCTAATCCAGCGAAGCCGGCAATGGCACGCTCATTAATGGTGTTACAGCGGCGAGTATCAATCCCCGGGCGCCGTGTCGCGGAATTAAACGGATATCGAAATAAATTGTGACTGGTGCAGGGTAAAATACGTTTCGTTGATGTCCACGTTGTAATATTGATGGATCATAACTGGAAGGTAATCACGGAAATAGCGACGTGACAGAAGGCAATTTACAGTGTCGCGGGGGTTTCGTGATGTAACGATCCGTGTTCCCATCGCGCGTCGATGGTTTAATCAACTATTTTGCGACGGTTTTCCGTGATTTCCGGTGACAGATGTAATAATGCTTGTCGTTGATCGATCAGTAGGGAGCTTGATCGTTGCTGCGCGATGATAGCTATCGAGAATATCGATAGAACTATCTACCAGTTATACCAATTATAATCTCCCATGAAAAGTGAGAATAAGTAGAATCAGCTTTCAAGCGACTGTCATCGTTCTATCTGCAAGACGAATAAGGCTACTTTGTCGTTAATAATTTATTGGAAAAACAGGAAAATTCTAAGCATACGTTATGCCTATATTTCCTGTTAACTATAATTTTCCTTTTAACACAACATTCGAGGTGAAAACAATTTCACTTACAACGAATATTCAAGGAAACAAAATTATCTATTGTCACGGTTTCTATAGACCTTAATATAGGGAAACTATTGGGAAAAGAGAAAAATTCTAAGCATACGTTATGCCTACATTTCCTTTTAACTATAATAGTTGATTACAGAGGAATAATATTTACTTTGAATTCAAATGAACCAAGTAATATATATATTTATTGAATCATCTTGAAAATTTTGATCACGAGTCTCACTCGTTGTAAGGGGTTAACCAACACTAAAAATTCTAGATACAATTTCTACAATTCATTTTGTTCGCCTTCGCCAATTCCTCCACGCTCTTTACGATCTCACCGCGAGAATCGGTTCATCCGGCCGCGATAAAGTTCCCGGGTTAATTCCTCCCCTTCCGTAGGGCCGCAATCAAGTCCGCGCCCTTCGCGCATTGTAGCTTTGACCGTGCCGCTATCGCCGTCCCATATTCCCGGATAAAAGCTAATTGAAGGGGACGCCGGAATCACGTCTAAATTGTTCTTTTTCCTCCGTTCCGGCGGGCCGCTCGCACGGGTCCGCCGTTAATATGGTTTCCTACGGCTAAGCCAAGGCTTTCAACCGACGCAGCTGGCTGCCGGTGACGTCTCCGCCCTCCGGGACGCGACACCGCAGGAGAAGATCCCCCGGATAACCGGCAATTTTCTTATACGCCGGGCTTGTTCTCGCCCGGGACGTTCGGATCGCGGGAACGGCGTATAAAGAGCAATCGCGAGCGAATGAACCCGCGGAAGACTAATGGCTCCGCAGATAGAGCCACGGGCGAGAAGAGGGTAATGCCTCACGTTCCGGCGAATCGATAGCGGGAATGTTTTCTTCGTTTCGCTCGAGTGCCGGATTAGCGATTGAGTAATTGGCAGTTCTACGGTGACCGGGCAGCCGGGGCTGCTCTTTTGGTGATTCACCCTTTCGATGGAATGATGCGTCAACGCGTAATCGACGTGAAATCGAATAATTTTGGGGTAGTTTCTTTGAGGTTTATTGGAATGTTTGATATTGTAACTGGTGCAATATTGGAGCCTAAAGAGTTCAAAGGGTTAATGTATTTTCCCTCGCAAAAACACTTATGGTTAGTAAACGTTTTATTGTGATTTAGAAAAAGAATCTAATAATCGAAACTGCAACTAATTTTTATAGTATTCCCAGCGAAAATGAGAAACGTTGTAACATTTCTTCGATCTTTTATTTTCCTTGTTAGTACATTTTCCTTATACATTCGGATTCAAAGTAAATATTATTCCTCTGTAAACAACTATTATACTTAAAAGGAAATATAGGCATAACGTATGCTTAGAATATTTCTTTTTTTCCAATAAATTATTAATGACAAAGTAGCCATATCGATCAGAGTTGAGAAAGAAATCATAGGGTAAGGGGTTAAAGAGGTTATGTAGAGTAATTAGTGCCTCGATCTCAATGCTCCAGAAATGGAGGAACAGAATTTACTTCTGTAGAATCTAAATGCTTTGCGAAGTAGTTTCTGTTATGTATGTTTCATTTACAAAGTAATCAAAGATATAATAGAATGTTATGTCCGTGTTATTCATTAATTTCTTTAATGACGAGCATATTTCATACTATCCAGCGACAAATGGATTTCTAGTCAGCAACGAAAAACAAGCTATCCTATTCAATCGAACTCGAATCGTTCTAGATATCGATCTCAACCGCCTGCCAACGTCGACGATCGCCACATCAATCATTAACCACCGTAACATAATTACAAATTACATTTCATCCCGTCTCCGACTCGCCGAATCGAAATTACGTTCAACTTTTCGTCTGCAAATTGACTTTCGTCCATAAGCGCCCCGAACTGATTGCCGGCCGTGTGCGCGAAGTAGAAGGCTCTACCGGGTGTTCATTTATTAGCGGCTCCCGGGGACGACCCGGCTGCAACGGAACGAGAAGAAACGGCCGCGTAAACTCGGATTCCGTTTGACTTTGATCGCTGTTTCTGGTCCTAGGATTTTCTCGCGCGCTCTAAAGGGATCTCCGCCGGAGCCCGGCGCTTGAAAATTAGGTTCCTCCCGGGTCTCCCCGTGCTTTTTTGCAGCCGCGGCTTTTTCCCCGGGAAAAGGAAGTGTGCTTTGCATGTTTTCTAATTCCCTCGGACGCGAAGTTGCGTGGCACTGTTTCCTTTTGCGGGCAAGCTGGCCGTGCTGAACATTCCGTTCTAGGGTAACGAGCATATTGAAGTTGCAGGTAATCGATTCTGCGTCGTCGATATCGGTTAAATATAGCCTAGGCGGGAGTATCGAAGTTCAGCGCGGCGTTCTACTAGACACGCTGAAACTGAAAAAAGAAGGCCGACCGACGGAAAATGTGAAACGCCGCTGTGAATGGATTAAAAGAATGCCCGCGTAAAACACACAACGACCGCGCGAAGGAACGGGGAAAATTCGCGTTTGCCCGGGATAACGGGAATTATAAAAATGTACGCGCCCGTGAAATACAGAATACCTAAATATTGAAATTAAAACAATTCACGCTCGTGGGAAATATCAAATATCCGCGCGATAACGGCGAAAAAAATTCCCGTTCCGCGCGAACGGGGAATGTTTACGGACTCGATAACGCAGAATTTTCGTGACGCGAGGATCGCTCTTTGCCGAGCGTATCGATAAGTATTTCAACTGCCAAAGCAACTTCGACCGAGAATTACCGCGATATTTCGAGGAGAATGTGTTCGGTAGTGTCGCGTCGAGGGACGAGTTTCTAGAGCTCTTACCGGCTACGTCCTCCAGCGTCGATTTCTCGCCGCAGCTGATGAAATGGGGGTAGAAGGACACCATAACTATACCCTTGGTATCCGCCTGGAACGGAGAAAAATAGGGTATCGTTACAATCCTTTAATAATCGCGAAGAATATCATTTATTCCATGAAACTTTACAGAAACCGGGAAATATCAGATCGACCGCATTGGATTCTGAGCGACTCAATTATAGCAATGAAGCGAAACTATTTCTCAAATCTTTTTATTCAATTTCACAAATTTGATAAGTGTTTCAAGATATCGATAATTAATAAGAAAAGTGAAACCCGGTATAATTATTCTAGCGTTAATTCACGCGTGATCGTTCAGTTGCTATCAAAGAGCATCCCATCGGGAAAGGTTGAGCATTTCTAGCGGAAAGCTTCCGGTGTCTGCGGTGTCTTTGAATTCGAAACGACGAGGGAAAATCGATGGCCGGTTGACTCACCAAACGTCGCAGCGCGTGGTCAGGCACATTTCGCGAGGAATTGCAAAGAGCGTGGGCGCTGCTGTGGCTGAAGATCACCGGCGCTCTGGACGTCCTCATCGCGACCAGCATCGTCGGCACAGACACGTGGGACAGGTCCACCATCATTCCCAGTCGATTCATCTCTAGCACGACGCTCTGGAAGTGTTTGATAATTTTATGTAGTATTGTACGCACGTCGAGACGTTTCTGTCGCAGAATTCTCAATTATGTCTTTCACACATTGACAATCTTGTTGCATCACCATTAGATTGTTTCGAAATGCATCACTCTATACAGAACGATTAACAAAGTTGGTGTACATAGCGTAAAATAGGTAAAAATAAAATTCATCGCGCGAGACGTAGGAATTGTGATACCAAGTAATTAATGACTCCTCATTTTTTTTCATAGGAAAAAGATTAGTGATATATAAAACGCTGTTTTCCGTGGCAGTCAACGTGTCAAAGGAATATTCTGTAATTCTCGAAAATAACGTAGTGATATATTTGTAAAAATTATGAAGATGAAGTGTAATTTGTGTAACGAAAGTTGTAAGTTGATAATGAAACACGTGTGCGTAGGGAGTTTGAGAGATACTTATTGGAGGATTGTGTAATGTAGTTAATGACGTAAAACTGAGAAACCAGCGAGGGAAGCAGCTTATACTTTAAATATATTCCGTCAGACTAATTAGAACTGCACGAGAGTTCGTTACATCGAGATCTAAGCAGCTTTACACGTGTATTATATATACACGACGGTCACGTGAGCGTACAAAGTTCACGATCCAATAGCCACTGTTTCATTTCATGTGTATCAATCACGTCCAATTCCATCTAGCCGCACTATATTAATTACTACCAATTAGTGCTCAATATATTTCGAGTGAAATTCACCGAGCCGTCCGGTTAGCGTGGTTCCCGCATCAATAAGAGAGGTCTAAACTGAGAGACATTTAGATGCAAAGTAGTTCCAATGAAATTCAGTCCGATGGCTCTCGGGGAATCGATGATCTGGGATTAACACAGCTCATAAAGATTCCTGCTCAAAAGAAAGTGCCGATAAGAGCGGAGTATCCTCCGGAGACTGGATTATTACTGGACTGCGAATAGAAGATCTCACGATTTCACACGGAAAGTTATTACATATAAAATGCGAGTCGGCGAATTCAATTAACATTCTTAACCCTTTGCACTCGGAAGTTTTTCACTAGAAATATTTTAGCATTTTCCGATGAGATAAAGACGGTATTTTGCGAAACTAGAAGAGATATTATACGTATGTTGAGGAACAAAGCTATTTTATTTCTATATTTTTTGAATTCATGAGTTATACAAGATGTAATATTAAATATTAAATTTTATAGAATGCAAAGGATCAAAATGACTGGTTTCAGTTTGTCTCTTTCGCAATTATTGATATCTTCAAAGCATTGAATATTCGAAATGATTTCGAAAATAAATACATTACTACAATATTCATAGCGATTAGATTTCAATCGTATCAAATATTCAGTAGTTTTAGTGTTAAATCAGCGAAGAAAAATGGAGAACTCTAAATCAAATTCCCAAATTAGTCATTTGACCCTCCACGTTTACTATTAATCCACTATCGTTCATTATGAGTCGCTCAGAAGCCAATGTCGATTTCTTAATATTCTCTAATTTTCATCAATCTTAATAGAATAAATAATATTCTTTTCAATCATTTAAGGATTCACTAGTTCCTTCGTTTCGCTCTAAGTCAGAAAGCCCTGCTTCTGAAAATATGTTGAGCCAGAAATAGCTTAACAAACATTGATCTCAATTCTTCTGTCTCGCAGCCGCATTGTCTTCCGAGCGGCTCGTATCGCGCAGCGCCTCGTAAAAGTCAAACGAACAGCGAGCGCTGTTTACAGGCGGAGAGGGTGCTCGGCTCGCGGCGTTCTCGCGCGCGATCCGTGACACTTATTGCCGTTGTCGTTCAATCAGATCGAAAGTCGCGACAGACAGTTCCTTGATGCGATCGGGGGAATTCCTGATCGCAGGAAACAGGAAGCCATTGACTGACGCATGACGAGCATCAGGGAAACGCTAATTCACCTTCGAAATTCGCGTTTCAGCCTGGAATGGCGTATCGCGGATATAATGGCGGGCACAACAGATGTATCGAGCACGAAAGTAGTCCCGCGGAAATCGAGTCCAGAGACCTGTATTTCGCTCGGATAAGAGATTTCCGATAGGTCCTGCCGGGAGAGGCTGACTGCCGCCCGGCGCGACGTGAAATATCGTCCTTGATGTCTGCGCCGTCGGGCTCCCGCGATACGGCTGCTAATATAAAATTCGATTTCACCGTTGTCACTTGTCATTTCGCTGGAACAAAACAGCCATCGACTGCTCGGCTCGCCGTTCCTTCGGGGTCTCGCGGCACCGGCTCGAATCATCGAAATTATCTCCACGCTCGGGATGAATCAGTTCACTAACACTAGATTTACTGAATTTCGTAAACATTTGGTGGAATTTTTGGGTCGGTTTTGATTGGTGCAGTTGTGTAATTGTGTGCAATCAAAATTATCTGCACGCTCAGGCTGAATCAGTTGATTACTACTAGATTTACGGAAGCCAATGGCAACGTGTTGGATTTTATAAACATTTGGTGGAATTTTTGGATCGGTTTGGATTGATGCACTTGTGTAAACATGTAGTCTAGTTATATACTTTTAATTTCTAAGATCTAAATGAACCTCTAATTTCTAAGATATAAGTGAACGAGTTTGCTAAGAATAGGACAAACTACAGAATATCTGTTGATCTAACAAAGCAGTAATTAAGAGAAAGTATTAACGAAACAGATGATCTAAGATTTCAGTAGAAATATTATATAAATTGAATATCGCAAATTTCATGAACCGACTATGTTACCTAAATAAAGAGATAATCTACGAGTTTCCTCCACCAATAGCTAAAAAGTCACGAACGTCTATAACTTAATTACGAGAACTGATAATCAAGTCACCACCAAAAAATCATACTTTCCATATCCAAGGGATCGCAGACAAGAAATCGACGAAGGAAGTAATAAACGCGGCGCGATTTCAAGAAACTGCGACAAACTCCGCGAGAGTTGGGAAGAGCCGACGCCTCTGGATCGCACTTACCGGGGAACAATCGCTAATGACAACGTCACGCGAACAATTCATTCCCGGGACGACCTGCAGCTTGCCGGAAACAGAGTTATCGTTTGCATTCCAAGAGCATTCCTCTTTCCCGAGAGCGTTGCATCCATTAAACAGGGAGGCTTTGTTAAATCAGCGCCGTCATGGACGCCTGAATCCCCGCCGCCTTTCTCTCAAGATTCCAGTTTATCTCTCGCCGGAACTTCCCGGCCCCGCCGTTTTCATTTCCCGTTCGTTCGTTCGCGCGGGGGAATCCGCGTCGCAGCCCGTTCCCTCCTCGAAACAGACGTCTCGGGATTTCTTTTCGCCCGGCGGCGCTCGTCGAACGCACCCACCGCGTCCCCGAATTCCATGGGAATTAGCCGAAGTACGAAATCGTCGCAAACTGCGGCCGCCATTATCACGAAATTAGCGAAGTTACAATATCTCTCGGCGAAGTGGCACTCGTTAGCAGCTCCGGGAGGAGCCCGGAGATAGCGCTCCCGTGAATTCCGACTGCGACGCGCTATCTTCGCGCTGAACGTCGCGCGTTCGTTGAACGGGGACGCTTCATTAAAGTAACAACGCGATAAACTTCACTTTTCGGAATCGCGTCCCCTTCTGCGCTGTGATTCTTATGCAGCTCCTCGGCGCGGACCGGTTCAATCTTGCCGTCACTCCGGCATGGAGATTTCCAACGGATACGACTGGCCATTCGACGGAATACGATTGTTTGGCGCGAGGACATATTTTTTGAATGTTTCCGCGACGAGCGCCGGTTTACTGCGCGAGCAGATGGGACTTCGACGCTCTCGGGATCTTCGGAATGATCCCTCCTAGACGCTCCGTCAACTAGTATTGAAATCAAGAGTCGAGCGACGAAGTTTCGGGGTTCGACGGCTTTAGAACTTCATTGAGATTTAACCCTTTGCACTCAAATTTCTCAATAGAAATATTTGACATTCTTCGACGAGGAGAAGACGATATTCTTTGAAATTAACTCGAAGGGAAAACAAGTATATTAACAGTAGGTCTACAGGCATTTATTGTACACTTCATTCTATTATTCCTAATAGAATTGATGCTCGTTTATTTAAATTGTGGAAACTGGAGATTTGATAGTAGGTAATTGGTCAGTGTGACATCAATCGAAATCGGCGTAAAGATTTACAAAATAATATTTCTAAAATCCAATATGCCTCAATTTGACGCGTTCCGTAAACCTAGTGTTAAGGGGCAAAGCTATTTTATTCCAATATTTCACGTATCGAGGCGTCACACAAAGTTCACCATTAAACATCATATTTCATAGTTTCACCGCGTCAAATCAAGTCACCTCTCGAGTAAAGGGTTAATTTCTTCATCTCTCGTTCCGATTCTCGTTGTGTCGCGTATCCTCTCTAAGCTTCCGAAGTGTCCCAAACGAAACTCCTATCGATCGAAGAATATCTCAGCAATCCAAAGCAATCCAAGGCAATCCAAAGCAATCCAAAGCGATCTATTCATCACGCTATGAAAGCCATGCCCGATTCACAGCGATCATCTCGCGCCGGTGCCTGTAATGAAGCTCGTGCGCGGTTCGCTCATCGTCCGACTTACAACTCGTCGAAGCTAAGCGAAAGCGGTGAATAAGATATCTCCGACAGCGACTCCAACGCCATAAAGCATGCCGGTTCGCAACGGCGAGCGGACGCAAAGGATCCGCGATGAATATCCCGGGGACCAGGCGGAGGAGGAACGTAAGATTGTATCGCGACGCGCACGCTTGCCTCGCAATCGAGCCGCTCGATCGAAACGGAACGAAGAACGAGTGTAACTCGCCGGCACGGGATCCGTTAAAAGCCGCTTGCAGGCGATGGAAAACCGAATGAAAGGAATGTCGTGCACCCGTTTTCCACCGACGACGTTCGCTGGTTAAATTAGTACGTCGCGCGCCGAATTAACTTTGTGCGAATTTTTAGTTTCGTTGAGTGGACACTGTTCGCTTGTGGAAATCAATGTGACTCGAAATATGTTATACACT